TCCCCGCTAGACTCGCTTCCTGCACTTGCGGTGACACGTCAGCCTCCCACGCTCGCCGGGGAAGAGAAGAGCCACCAGCGACAACACAGCGTTGCTAAAAAGCACACGCAGCTCCCAAGGTGCAGCAGGATTTGGCAGTAGGTAGCAAGTCAGTATGTTTTATTTTTTAAAGCTAAGTATAAACAGGAAAGGGATCAAATCATTTCCAGTCACCAGCTGTCCCCGATCCTCAGGAGAAGGGTACAGTAAAAGAGCTGTTTAAAAAAAAAGGGGGGAAGGGACAGGGGGGAACTCAGGGGACCCAGGCTCCTTATCAGCAGGCAGGATGTCGTGCCAGACGCTGCTACTCTTTGGGCCTGGCTCAGTTGATTCTTCATCTTTACCCAGGCCTCCTCCACATCCAAAGGAGGAGGGTCGGAGACAAGTGCAAAGGCTCACGCTCCTGTGAATCTGAAGGCAACCTCCTGTGAATCTGAAGCTGGCCTTACTTTGAGCAGGGGAGTGGGAAAAGGGGAGAGCGGACCAGAAGGAGGTCCAGGAGTCTCCTTCCAACCTAGAGCAGTTTGCTTCCTCCTTTCACCTTCCCAGGCTCAGAGGCAGAGTCCCAAAAGATAGTCTTCCCAAGGCCTGAGGCAGGGCTGGCTGGTACAGGGCTCCTCGGGGGCTCGGCCTTTTTTTTGTTGTTAGGGTTTTTTTGTTTTTGTTTTGTAAAGGAGGGTGATAAACAGCCAGATGCCATGCCCTCAGCTCCGCCAGCTGTGCAGGCACCCAAGGGTGCATCCCCCCTGGCCCTGGGGTTTGCAATGTGTCCAGCTGTGCTAGAGGCATTTCCTAAGAGGATGCTGCCATACAATTCATCATCCCTCTCCCGCCCCAGCCCTGCTGGCAGGTGCAGAGGTCAGCTTTGCTGGTAGAGGGCCATGAGTAGTGCTTTGGTCTTTCTCAGAGGTGTTGCCCTAGAGAGAAGACAACCTTCTGAGGAGGATGTCTCTCCAAAGCCCTCACTCTCTGCTCAAGAAACTCAGCACCTTTTATAACATACTTCAATTTTCTGTGAGGTGTGACTGGAAACACGGGACTGGTCCCCACAGTAGACTGAGCCAGTGACTCGCAACACCACTGCTCTAAACCAGCCCACCCCACTGCTGCTCATCCACTCTCTGTGCAGTTGTCCCCCTGCCCTGCCACCTCCTGGCCTCCTCCTCCTTCCCTATGCATTTTTCTTTCTTTCTCCTCAAGCCTTCAGAAAGCCATTCTAACATGATAGCACCCTAAATATTCTGTCCACGGGACAGATGGCTGATGACATGGAATGAAAAATGAGAAGACAACATCAGCGCAGCACAAGACTCACTCCTCTGTCCCAAGGGGACCCACAACCAGAGGATTTTGCTGCTGCCCCAGACCAAACAGGAATGGCTTTCTGTTTGGTGGGAAGGCTGGTGAGCAAAGTCAGACAACACAAGGGGGCAACAGTTCCACCTGCCCCAGAAAACAAAGCATCCCTTTTTTCAAGTGAAGCCTGCACAGACACAGCAGAGGACAAACCGTGATGTATATGCATAAATATATATACATACATATATATAAAATCTCTAGCATATGTACATTCTCGCTGACCCAGACATTACTCACAGACACAAAACTTTTGGGATGCACTGCTCTCTTCTCGGGGAAACTGTGACATCAGTGAGGCTGCTGTGAAAACATCTGTGCTGCCATGAGGGGACGAGATGGGCAATATGCTCTAGGTGACCCTGCTTGAGCAGGGGGGTTGGACTAGATGATCTCCAGAGGTCCCTTCCAACCTAAACGATTCTGTGATTCTGTGATTCTGTGAGATGGACAGAAGAGACAGATGGAAGAGCCTCCTGATGCACAGGTGAACACCTACCGCACGACCTCCGTCAACCCAAAGAGATGTTTCTTGGCTGTGCTGGACCTCCGATGCTCACTCTGCTGGAATTAATGTGCATTTTAAGAAGCTGCTCAAGCAGGGATAGGGAAATTTCCTTGTGTTTGTTTTCCCTGGCTGCTTTGGATGCTTGGGTTGACGCCTCCCACAGCTGCAAATACTTACGTGGGAATTCCTCCTCAGTCAGACCAAAATTGCACCCAGCTCAACTCACAGCATGCAACGGAGCCTATCCCAAAGTCAGCGACAGGAACACAGAATGAGGTGGCTGGCATACTTCACCCCTCAGGAACAAGTAGGGTTAGCCTTTACATATATACATTTTCCTTTGGCTGTGTCTGAAGACCCAAAATTGTCTTGGACCCTGTGCTGCTGATGTTGTGCAGTTAACACTGAAACGCCTTCAGCATCGTCCGAATTTGGCACGTACAAGGATGTGTCAGTGTACCTGGACAACACGAAGGCCCATATAACCATGCACTGATGTTTTTCAGGGTCTTGGTCTGCACAGCAAAGCCACCTTCCGTGGTGCTATATGAAACCTTTCTTTCATCATTGCCAACTGACATTTGGCTGCTCTTTTTAGTGTGGTGGCAGGCAGACCTGTCTGAAGACAACTGAGATTCTCTAACTACATCATGTTTGCAGAACGGATGAGAGGTTTTATTTAGCTGTCAGGCTAACTAGGCTGCCTGTGAGCTTAATCACTTGTAGTACATCTACCCACTGTTGCATGATAACACTCCTTTTGCGCTGGCTGTTACGCCCCATGCAAAAATGGAAACGGTTAACCCTGCAGCTGGGCAAAGTGTGTGTGAAGCACAGTCAGGAGCAGTTCTCACACTTCCCCCTGTCCAGACTCTTATCTAGAATACAGAGTGCCCCAGCAAGATGGGCATAACGAGCTCCACGGGCTGCTCTGGGACCCCTATCATCTTGCAAAGTAAACAGCACATTTTCAAGTGGATTAAATATTTATGTCCAGCAGCAGTTTTTGGAGAAACTTTGGCCAGCTTTGTGCTGACTCCCATGGCTATTCTATGGCACAGTTCTACTTGGCATTCAGACAGCACCTTTTGCTAAGGACTCTTAAGAGCTTTATATATGGTAAACCTCCTCGTGTGCTCAAGAAGGACAAGATGTCAACAGACTGCCCATTTGGCAGAGGGGAGCACAAAGCCTCAGGAAACTCAGGGACATATTTGTTGTCACACAGCGAGGGCCATCAGAGCTGAGGTTGGGAACGGAGAGGCCCAAGCCCTGCTCCTCTGTGCCTACTCTCAGCCACCACACAAGTATTGTGACCCAGCAACCTCATTCTCTACCCTACCTCCTAATTAGGAGTCTTTTGTAATCTGCTTCAAGAGTCTACTCCAACCCTTGGAAACAAGAGAGATGGATTTTGTTCAAGATTTTACCCAATATTTCCCTACCTTGCTCTCATTTGGATCCAATCTACTCCTGTGGAAAATCTAAGCCTCCCCTGCCCCCCACCCACCAGGTTCATTTCAGTCTAGACTTCCTCAAAGACACTACTTGGAGTGCAACCATCTTCACCATTTCTCAGCACTAACCACGCAGCGTTGTTCTTCCTAAAGCACCAAGATTCCGGCAGACCACCTCTGCTCCACCGAGAAAAGCGCTCGGCTTTCAGCATTTATTTCTCCTATTTAACCAGGGCTCAGTATTTCAAAAGGATGGCACGCAGGTCAAGTGTCCTCTCAAAAGGAGGGGTACATGACTGAGTACATACCTGAGTGTTATAAAGGACTAAGAGCATCCATCTAACTCTACAGGGCACAACACCTAGTCCTCACCTCTGACATAACTACTGTGTTGCAGCTACATAATGAGAGGAGACATTAGTTGCAGCTGGCCTACAGCCTTTGCTCAGAAACCACAAAGCTCGGTCTATATACGCATGGAGTCACTCTGCAACCTATCCTGCCTGAACTTAGAGGAAAACCCTTTAGGTCTTGTTGGTCTTGGTTTAGCAGCCCTGGGCTGCTACAGCTCTTCCTTTCTGGGTATCGGAATATGTACACCCTCCTCTCCGCCCCTAATAGTCCATTCTCTTTTGGCAGAAAGAAGGTGGCCTCAAGCTGCAGGCATTAACATCTTTTTCCACATCTGGTTTGGCCGATTCCAGGGTTGGCCAGTTTCCTTGCACAGTCGTGATCCCACTGTACTGAATAAATACCTATAGATCAGAGACTACAGTGACTAGAAGCTCCCCACAGGTCAAACAGTCACGCCAGCACTGACCTCAAAGCTTCCACAAAACACTAACGCGGTTCAGAGATGTCTTGGGAGCACGCGCAGCTGTGCTGCGGCTCCCACCTCACACAAACACACGTTATGAACGGACCAAAGAACAAGGGTAAGAACGTGGGCTGGGTGCGTTCCGCAGACGCAGGAAAGGGTTATGAGCTCCTCTTCCGCACTAGGAGAGTTTGTACCATCCACGAGTTGGTCAACTGGATTTCAGAGTTACCACTACACTTGCCAACCGAGGGAGCCTCGCTGTTTCCGTTTTTGTTGCTGGGACGCTTGCCAGGGCCCCTAAGGATGTTTAGAATAGGAATGGTAGCTCTGTGAACAAGCAGACTACAGAAGCAAAACCTGAGCAAAAATTCAGACCGGAGAAGACAACAGTGAAACGTAAGAGATTTTAAAATGATCACCAGCATGAGGTACTCATTAAAAAAAAACACTGCAAGGACAAGCAACTTCCTTCTCTGGAAGAGAGGGTTCTTCCTTACTCCACAACAGGGATCTCACTGTGTCAACAGTCCAGGCAAGACAATCACACAACAAAAAGCATGTGCAAATCCTTCCTAAAGGACAACGTGCTTCCTAGCATGACTGTCCCTGCAAGAGCCTTACATCTGGCCTCAACTACCAATACGTCCCTGTGCCTTTAGGCCAATAGGGGCACGCAGGCAACGAAAAGATGCTATAGCACCGGTTACAAAGTGCAATGCAGTTCCCAATACGTTAAGCCAAAGGATTGTCGCCAAACTTGCCTTCCGGGCAATTCTCGTAAAGAGGATAAAGCTACGCTCCAGCTGCTTCTGTCCTCGCAATGTCTTTTTCACTCACTCCTTGCCTGAACTGTAGATCTTCTGAACTGTGGCACGTGTCAGCTCCAAATCCTCCGGGTACCGAATTTCTAGCTCGGTATTTGGTAGGTAGTGAATGCCAGTAAACTCTGAAAAATAACGGCCGATGTCTGGGTGAGGGATCTCCCGAGGCTCAGAGTTATATTCCAGGTTCTCTGTCAGGAAAGAAAAGAATCAGTTATCACTACATGAAATGCCCTGCTACAAGGAAATAAATCCTGCACTTCTCTGGTCTTTATGCCTCAGAGCTCTGGAAGTACTGCCTCTTGACCATTAAACAAAACAAACCTCAATCCAGGAAAACAAGCGTGCAGTATGCCAGTGCGATTGCTTACTAAGCCTCATCTCCACTTCCTAACGGATGCTCACACCATTTACTAGTAGCATGAAAAGTTTTTACACTGGAGAACCACATTTCCTGCCTGACGTTAGGCTAGAGCAGCAGGATGCTGGCCTGCTACAACTCTGCTGGCCACAAGCCTTTTTCCGTGCAGGGCACTAAGTAGCACAGAGAGACAACAGGGAGGGCCAGGAAACAACCTGATGCTCCTGTCACTACCAGCAGGGAAAAGCTGCAGCACTGGGCTCTGATCCCCCACGTCCTACGGGAGATCAACTCCAAGGAGAGATCCTTCTCAAATGCTCCAAGGCGAGGCTGACTGCACAAAGTTGTCCTGATAGAAAACCCTAGAGCGCCTTGTCCCTCTAAGTCACCAGCATGGATTTCAGCCATGTCTCGCACAGCAAAATTAACTTCTCTAAAACCAAACTTCCCGCAGTAAGAAAAAGTCCCTAAGATCAACATGTTGATTCTTTCCCAGAGCACCCCACTTCCTCCTCCGTACAAGAAAGGTGACAACTTAACTTGATTAAACACAGCTGTTGAACAACACAGACAAACGCTAGCACTACAATGCAGAGCTGACCCAAGCCAATGGCCCATGTGCTCCCTCATTGTTTGCTTAAAGCAGTGTGGCTGAGAGGCAGCCCGGGAGTAAATCACAAGTACAGGTGCCCTGCAGCAGTCCCAGAATGACGTCATTTTCTCCAGCGCATTGCCAGGTACACAGGTAAACACAAAAATTTGCCTAAGTCAAACTCTGACTTACCTACAAGGCAGGTGCAGGGACGAGACGGAACACAGAGAACATAATTCAAGAATAATCTGAAACATATTCAGGTCACTACAGAGAGCGCACGCAAGTCATGTCAATCCATACAGGCTCTTCCAAGCAAGCTGCACTTTGCTAACAACTACCACGTGTCAGTGTGTGCATCTAAAAGCACGAGAGCTTGCTACCTCAGCAGGCTGGTACAGTCCTACGGCCTTGCAAAGTACTATTTTCTTGTACTACACAGTTGCAGAAAGTGATTTATGCTCTGATAAGCTTTACAGAAACACGCCTGAGCAGTGAGTTGCGTATGAAGTGACACACACAGCGACTTAACAGAAGCTGGGGGACTGGGGAAAGGCAGATTGAGGCAAGGGAGGTTCACCACTAGGCAGGGTGTCTCAGAAATATGCTGACTAGCAGTTTTGGAACCACAGGGACTTGACCTGTGCTGACACAAAACAAAAGGAAAGGCAAGAGAGAACAGGTGAGATACCAATCTCACTGCATAAAACAGGTGTTTTGGAATTAGCTACAGCTCAACCTATGAACATACAGGTAGGACTCAGAAACCAAAGTTGGCATTACTCTTGAGCTGGTTAGATAAAACTCTGCGTGTAGATTTGTTTAAGATTCTTCCAGTAAAAAAAAAAAAAAAGTCATTCCCTCCCCAAACTCACATCTACAAGTTATGAAGCAAATATTTCCCAAATGACTGGAGGATATATTTAAGAGGAGATACTTAACAGACAGGCAGGGAGGTTTCAGGAAGCAAGGACAAAAATCCTCAGTTTTCCCCAAGAAATATCAAAACTCTTGGAAGCCACAGAGATGACAGTGCCAACCTACAGCTTAGCTAAAAAACACACTGCGCTCTGGAATCAGCCGGCATTATACTTGCTTATAAACAATTGGAGAAAAAAAAGAAAAGAAATAAAAATAGATGACTCAGTCCCAGAAGCACTCGTTGACAATTATCCAATTAGTTTCACCAATCTGTTGCACAAAACAATTTTTGTTTCTTAAGACTCTGAAGCTAAACACCGCCTAATACAAGCAATGAGGCAGAGCTGCACGCATTCTGGGTCCTCACTCCATCTTTTTGGACTACTGAATATAAAGTAAATTCAGGAAAAATCAAACACACCTGCACAGTTTACTCCTTCAAAGATAGGAACAGATCCTCCTGTAAAACCACCTCTTGCTCCCATGTATGGGATCAGAATGTGTCAGGGAGCACCCTCTAGTGAAAGAACTGAACTGCATTTTGTTCGAGCATTTCCTGTTTAGAGGCTTCCGTGTTTTCTCTTACAAGAGAGAAAACCTGCCAGCTGGATGGAGGAGAGGAGAACACAGAGGAGAATAAGCCCGAGACAAAGAAACCCTCTGCTTACAATGGACGGAGTTAAGGTCATACTTTATGGAACCCGAGCTGCGTACTTCCTATGTCCCAACCTCACACTTGGCCAGCAGATAAGACCTTGGGCTTTTTGTCATTGGTGGGTTTTTTCATTTGTTTGTCCTTAAACGGTACGCTGCATCATGAACAGGCAATAGAGATTTCTGCACCTCTTGGCATTTGTGATGAGACATTTATTTTTGTCCCATTCTCATTAGAGATGGCACTAAAAGCCACACTGTCCATACTCCCTATGAATGTGATCTTGGCACATTCAGTCTTGTGGTGAAAGCTGCTCAGAACTACGCTCTAACAGGTAAAATCAGCACACTCTCTCAGTGGATCCTATTCTGAGGTCCTGCCCAAAGCACAACTATAATTTCCCAGAGTGAGAGCCGCAGGTTTCAGCAAAAGCTGATTCAAGTCTTTTAAAAGTGGCAATCATGCTTTGGACATGATTCGTTTTTATGGCATAAACCATGTATTTCTACAGTAAGAGGGGGGATTACGCCAAAGTGGTCCTTAACTTTCCTTCCCAGCAGTACCGATCTCCTCGAGAGCAAACAAAACAGGCCATGAATTCAAGATCGTTTTCCTTTCTGCCTCAATCTTAACTTACAGTTTATGCTTCATATTAATCATTTAAACATCCCTTTCAGTGCAGCCACTAGCACAATTCAAATATTTGACACTGCAGAGCTAATTCACCCCTTCTATACTTCTGAACAGACAGCATACACAGGAGACTTCTTTGCTCACCTTGAGCAGCGTATCTGCAAGAGCCATCTTCCACCAGCACATTGTAGAAAGGCTGGTGAGGGCCATGTGGAAAGCTGTGGACATTCATATTTCGGATCCATTCATGCCCCATCATGCAGGCGGGATCCCAGCCGTAGATCACGCAGTTATAGCCATATCTAATTAAAAAGATTACACCACAAAGACCATGAAAACTTCAGAGTCAGCTCTCTTCCTCAAGGGTCATTCAGCACAAACAGGATAGACGCCTCCCACGAGTAGGCACATGATGGAGAAGAGAAAAATTGATACAAGAGAAGTGTGGGCACCTGTGTGTATGCCTTGGGGATGGGGAAAATGGCTAGGAGTAACTGGGTAAATAGACTGAACAAACAGCTGAGAACAAAGGGAAACCAAATTTGAGACTGAGACATCAGCAACTGGGAGAACAGGAAATAAGACACAGGGAGGGAACAAGCCATTCTACTGTGCTGTGCAAGTACTTTTGTTCCTGTTACAAAGACATGGTAATCCCAGTATTGAATTCCCAGACACAAAGCCAGCATTATTTTCAAAATTTTTTAAGTGATTAATTGTGAGGTTTCATAACTGTCACTGCAGATGCCCTAAAACATGTTCCAGATGTCTTGTTGAGTCAGAGCAGAGGCCAAGGGAACACAGTGCTGGCATGTCTTATTCTGGCAGAGTAGTACAGGAACACAAAGCCTCTGTGCAACGTGGGAGGAAGGTAATAATAGTACCACAGGGAAAGATCCATAAGCGACCTTATGAGCCTTACCACATCTTATGAAGTTGCTTCTGTTCCACCACTCCTCTAGCAATTCATTAACTGATTACTGATGCTTTTTTGAGAGCTTTGTGCTGTGGTAGTTTTACCTATGTGACATATGATGGCTCAGACGAGTTACCTCACAAACCTCTCTGCAAGCAAACAGCAGTGAATATGCTTGATCTCTCAAGAGACGGGAGAAATCTGCTCCCGTTTCTCTAAGTGACATGCAACACAGATGCATGTGCCTGGCATTTTCTTTTCCAGATATCTCCTTGGCAGATAAAATCATGTTTCATTTCTGTCAGAACAAACACTGCATTTGTTATAGTGCAGCCTGCTAACACAGGGAAGGTTTGGAAGAGCTCACCTCTTGTGTTTCATAATCAGCCCGATAGAAAAGCAGACTTCTTTGTGCTTCTCATCTGATCGGTGCTTCACCTCAGGGCCCAACTCCTCTTTCCGGCGCTCAATATGCTCTAGAGTATGTTGAACTAAGTATCCAACGGCCCCATGTTGGGATGGGTCCAAAGCCTGAATATGTTGCAAGATGTCCAGAACCTTCAGCAACCAAAACAAGAAAACAGATTCAGAACAAGTCTCTACAAGCAGTCCACCACTTACAGGCACGTACAGATACGCTTCTCAAGTTAGTTGGGTCTAAGTTCCCAGGCCTAGAGATCCACCACATATGAGCTCTTCACACAGGACTGAGGATCTTTGCTCTAGCTACACAGTCTCAAGGAGTTCTTCACAGCTGCTTAGCCTGAAGAAACTGCAGGCAGTTCTCTCTCTTTCTGTTTGTAAAGCTCCCTACTCCCAAGAAAGGTCACTGCTGAGCAAAATAACTCCCTCAAACTGAGGTCATATGAGTTAATCACGTCACATTCTGCAACTACAGGGCATCAAGGAGACCATTTCAAGGTTCCCAAGACATTAAGAGAATGCTGTTCCTACTCTCCTGAATTGCTGCCATGAAGCAACTCCAGACGATTCTGCTGTACTTGAGAACAAACATTTCAGTTAAAAAAAATTTCCCTCAACATTTCTGGAGGAGAGTGGCAGAGGAAGAAGAGGGCAGCCCAGGAGAGAGAAGTGCAAATAAACTAGCTGTGCTGTGAAACAATGAGCAAGAGGCAGAAAACCTGCTTGTCTCAAAGTGTCTCAAGAATACTAACTTTTAAAGTATTCTCAAAGTAATAAGACTCGTAGATCCAGAATACCAGGTTACCAACACCCTCGGGCACAACGTCAGAACATCAGGGCACGACAGCTGCTGCAAAGTTTGTTAAGAGGCTGGCAGTGCAAGTTTTACTCTTTTTTCCTCCCCGCATCTTACCAAAACCCTCGCCTAAATAGGTTAGGGAAGGGCAGACACATCTGTCCCAACATCAAATACCTAAAGCGCTGCCTTAGCACCAAAACTGGAGATCTGACACAGCTCAGCACCTGGGAAGAGGACTGTCACCTTGATCACATGCTGGAGGCTTTGGCTGCCTCTAAGTTTTGAGCAACAGGGAAAGCAAAGAGAAATACAGATGTGAGGCTGCTCAGCAAGAACGTCAAGCACAGGTTCAAGAAAACAGACTCGGAAGAACAGAGGAGTAATCAGATATGAGAAGAGGAAACAGCTCAGGTTTCTTGGGCATCTTAATTCAGCTAGCTGGCATCTTAGTGCCTTAAAAAGGACGTTAAAACCAAAAACATTATAGAAAGGGGAAGCTAGGTAGCTCTGCTTGACCCCTAAGATTTTGTACCAGTTTCTACAAATACGGTAGACCACTGTCAACACTGGTGGATTCTGCTCTGTTGGACATACAGTATTCTCTGGCTAACTAGGGTTCCATCTAACAGCCTGGAAGGAGTGGCTGCATATGAGGATGCAATACTGAAAAGCCTAGCTATCACTAAAAGAAGTTACTATTTTCATTGCGTCTGGCAACCTGGTGCAGAGAAACCATAACATAAAACTCAGCCATGGGGTATGCTACTTATTCCGATGGTCGGCAAATCACAAATATGTCAAGTGCCAGTGCTTTACAATCACACTGCTGAGTACCATAAAGGGGAAATTCTTTCAGTGTTTCATTTCACTGTCCCCTATTCAAGTACATCTGCTATTTCAACTCAGTGAGTCTGCACACAATTTCTTAGTTTGGGCTGCCTTTTTGTGTGCGTGTGTGGACTCTAAAACTTGCTATTTCTTTCTCATGGCAGCAAGCAAGCTTAGCACGTAACCGCTTCAGAAGGAAGGCAGCTTTTCCAGCAATCCCATTCTTCAGTCCATTTAGTGGGAAGAGCTTTGCTGTCTTGCTCAGCTGTCCTGGATTCTAAACGATACTTCTCCCCCCCCGCCCAAACCTAATGTTTGGATCTGGCATAGGCATTGCCCAAGTGCATAAGCTTCACTGAAGCAGCGCAGGAAGTTTTGACTTTGGAACACCCTCTGCTATAGTGAGGCTCTACAGAAATGACGACTGTTTTGAGTTACATGTTTCCTCCCTGTGCCTTCCTCAAATTTAGTGAGGGGTTCAAGTGACCCAGACAACTTTCAGGTGTGTGTTCCTTCTCTGCCACTTTCACAAGGTGATAGGACTCAAGTTTCAAGGCTGAAGGCAATATTAGTATACCTGTCCCTGTGTTGTTTTTTTTTTTTTTTAAGTTGCCTTTTCACAACAATCACTGATTACGTGGCTAAGGCTTCCTGTTTGTAAAAGATAATATCTTATACATTTTATGATAAGGTAATCACTCTTTTTGCATAATTCCAGCAAGAATTCTATCATCACTGTAATCTAGGCGTAAACCATATAGAATGCTCTTGCATCTTACAGCTTCAGCTTGAAGTCCACAGTATTGGTTTCAAGATAAACTGTCAGACCCAGGCAGTAAATCTTAACTTACGATTCAGACTTGAGGCTGTTCTCAAGTCTCCCCTAGCGCAAGCAAGAAAGAATCATCCTCTTTCCTTACTTTATATAGTAGGAATTGATTCTCTCAAGCGTGATAACTCGTTCAATTGCATTTATTACAGTAACAACTTGTGGCAGGCTATAATGCAAGCTGATGTAGTCCAAAAATCAATAACTACTGTTAATAGCGCTTAGCCTATCAGAAAACATATGACCGAGTGGCAAGGTACCTTTTCTGGCCAGATTCCCAGGTGGAAGTATAACCTAGCCTGGAGCATTAGATGCTGCACATTGTCCGGATACATGGCCAGGTACAGATCCAACGAGTCTCTCAAGAGTTGATAAGATGGATCAGTGCTTTCTCTGCCAGCAAAAAAGAAACTCAATTGTAAGGCTAGCTCTCTAACCCCTATCCCTAGTACTCCAGCACATAGAGAGAGCCATCAAAAACGATGCTACCCAGTACTGGTACACTCATTCAATAGGAGTGACTTCAGGGCTGACTATTGCTCCTTACCTCCACTAGCCTCCTCAGAAGGAAAGACGCTACACAGTTGCTAGCCAGACTCTGCCCTCCCACTTCTCCAGTAGTCTACTTGGTCAGATAACCCTGTTCAGAGAATTCTCTCTCCAAGTCTTACGTTCACTTCCTTTTAAAATTTCCTTTTGTTCCCCTCGCTTAATTACAGCTAAAGCAATTCCTTTACTCTGATTTCTGCCTACTACTACTACTTCAGAAAGGGATTAAGAAGGGCTTTGGAAAATAAAAGACACTTTCAACAAACAACAACAACAGCTCCTTTGAAATTGCCCGTTTGAGCACGTGGGTTGTCTAACAGATCACGATGAAGGTCTCTGCCCTCAAGGGAACAGTGGATAGTCCTTTACAGTTCTCAGCAACTTTTCACATAGAAAAAGTGATGTGTTCATTTTCTCGAGTGAAACTAGTTTTACTAAATATTCTTGCTTCCACACAATACTGCTGCAGGCGATTAAGAGCAACTAAACACTGCAACACAATGTTCATAGTTTTCAAGAGATTACCTGGCGTGACTGATACCTTAAGGCACTCAAATACTGTTAAGAAGCAGTATTGGGTATGCAGACAGTATATTTCGGGTTCTCTTTCACAGACTTCACAGGCCAGATGATCCTCAGTTTCAACTCACCGCTTTCCAAGGTTTAAGAGATTTCCCACCATACGCTGCAAGACCTCCTTGGAAGACACCACTCCATAGAACTCCTCGGTCACATGGTGGCCGATGAGGTACTCGCACTCCTTCACCGTCAGCTGCTTCCCCTTTCCAAAGGCATCGATGTAGGTGTAGTCAAAGATATCTGTGCTTCTAATGAAACATCAAGGAAACTACACTGTAATGATGCGTCTCCCGTTAAACTAGGATTACCTATTTCTGCTCTCCTCTAAGTGCTTTCAAGCTTGGGTTTAAAGCAAGTATCATTCACGTCTCAGCTCCCTCCTCATATAAGATGACCTGCTACCTTCTCTCTTCTCCTGCCTCCTTCTTCAGATAAACACAAGTGGGAACAGACAGAGCAATTAAATGGACTTTTTCATTCCATTACACCAGTTCTTCAAATATTTTTACGTTTGCTGTACCTATTGCTACATTACATTACAAAGACGCGTTGGAAAGCACAGCAGAGCCCATGCCTACGGCATCTGAAGCATAGCCCCAAAAGGGGTAGATATAGACAAAATCATTGTTCTCAATTAGACTGCTGAGGTCATTCACAAAATACAGATTTCTGTAAATTAACTGTCACCAGGTTAGAGATTCCCTGCACTGATTTAGAGAATTAAATGAGTGCACAGTACAGCAGCAATCACCTCTAGCAAATGTTCTGTATAAAAGGTTAAGTGAAATCAGCGCTTTTCTCCTACTTAATAAAATTATGAAAAACTGAAAAGAAGAAAAAAACATTGCCACATGATTGTTATTTCACACTCAGGAAATTTGTTACAGTTCATTAACAGCAGGGCTGAGCTGAGCTCTGGGAGAACTTTTTTAGAGGTCTGATCTTTTCCTCAGCATAGGTTATAATTACAGACGGAAAATAATTAAGCATTCTGGTATAGGTACGGAGCTGTAAATGATTTCTGGCTTTTATTACTGTGGACACAACTTCTGAAATTTAGTGGACCACTTACCCTTCTTTCCCTTGACACCATCGCAGCAGAAAATGACTAGGGAAGTTGACTGGTTCAAGTTTGACTCCCAGCTGTCTGGCAATTGTTAAATAAAGCACAGACAAACTGATTGGAATTCCTGTCCTGCGAATCAAAACCTGGGGGAAAAGAGTGTGGGATATTGAAAAAAAAATTACAAAAAAGCAAGGTTTGATTTCACTAATACAGAACATTTAGTGCATGTTCTGTCAAGTCTCTGTATTTAAAGACGACATCATGCTGAGTTTACAGCAAGTTATTCTTTCGAGAGAAAACTATTTGCCTGACATTCGGATAACCCCCTTCACCCCCCTCCTAAATCAAATGTCTCAAGCCTTGCAGCCTACTAGCGTTTGCCCAACACACACGTACCTGATGAATGTATGAATTCAGGGAGTTATAGTAATCCAGTTCATTTCCTTTGTATTTTAGCTGCTCATATAGGACACAATTCATAGCATCAAGTACCTGCTGCTGAAGCTCCACTTCTGGAATCAAGGCCTCTCCTAAAAAACACACACAGAGCAATAAAGGCCGAGAAAATAAGTGTATTTAACCTTCATGAGGCAACAAGCCTCATACCATAATTCATGCGGACTGAGAACACAAGAGAAATATCTCAGTTCAGGGAGTCAAGAGACTGGCTGGAGGTGACCGTGGCAGCACAGAGCCCTACCGCTCCACTCACAATGTGGCCTGGCCCAGGAGACTGCCCTGCAGCTCAGCTGTGCAACAGTGCTGCCTTGCTTCCTCCCACGGCTGGAGAACTGAATCATAACCATCCCGCGCCAGCACAGCGCTGCAGCTGGACATGTGACACGATCCAGGCACGGGAGGTACATTTTTCACTGCTCAAGAGTCCCAGGTTGGCCACCCCAGACAGGCAGTCATTCTCTCCTTGAAAGAGAGCAAACACTAGAGAATGCTTTTGCAAACCAAGGAGCAAGAAGCTGCCTGACCTTTGGTGATCTTAAAACACACATCTTTTCTATCGTTGCTAGCTTTCCAAGCCTTGCAAAAAAGAAGAGGCTGCCCCACAGCCCTGCTTTCTCTGGCTGCATAGCAGGACTACTTAAGACTTCAGTGGTGAACAAACGCTCCCCCACACCAAACTTTTGCCTAGAAAACATCAACGAGACAGACAGACAACCCTGATCTACTGAGTTTCTGCAGCTGAACAAAGGGCTGTTACCTGCATGAAGGTTAAGCAGGTGTCAGAATCCATTTGCAAGGGGATTTAGGGACAACAACTATTTATGCTGCAATAACTCAACAGCTGTTTCACCTTGTCTGCCTGTATCCAGAGACCTGCAGAAACGTTCTGCAGTAAAGCCTATGTTTCTGTACAGTACCTGCCTTGGAAGCCAAGCTGGGATGACTTGGATTTTTCGTCCGCAGGACTTTGCGCACTTTATCCGTGATATCATCGACCTGTGCCTGGACACTTTTTAGGCAAATGTCTGATAGAGGGTTACAGTATTGGTCAATTAAAACAGCACCTGGAAAAAATAAACTACATAAGAAATAGGACTTCAGTTCTTTCTTTGTTTAGTTTTATCTACCCTAAATTGCAGCTCTATGGCACAGAACAGGCAAACACAGCATCTCCTGTTCTGACACACGAGATTTCCTTTTTAGTTTGTATAGAAATATGAACCCAATATTCAAAAGCAAAGAACAAGTCAACATGATAACTGCCAATAAAAATGCAGCAATTTCACTTTGGCAAGCATACATTTAGCCTCAAGATTTCAAACGTCACGACATGTCACCTCCTGTTCTTCTGACAAACCCAGTATTCCCCTCTCCGCCATCTCGAAAGGGAAAGCAATAGAGTTGTACATCAAGCAGGTAAGTTGTGTTAGACCAGGTTTAACCAGCCAACTCTCCTGCAGCTCTCTGCATCTCCTGGCATCCTCCCAACTTGCAATGTTTCTAATCCAGAGCCTCACATAATCTCAGCTTCGTCTCTACTTCAGCTCTGATTTCTTTCTGCCACACCCTCAATCACTGTTTCTCTTGCTCACTGTTCCCTCTTCTGCTATGTTCATCTTTCTCTTCCATGCCTGGCTCTCCATCTTCATTTCAGAGACCACTATAACAGAACAGAACAAAAAAGAACTTTCTCAGAATCCTCTCCTTGCTGTCTTGTCACTACTGCTCTTTCTAAAACCTCCATACTGTTCAACTGTTGGAATCAACTACATTCACCTGCAAGAATTTTGCACAGATCATGCCTCTTTCAGCTCCCTAAAGGGTTTCATTAGTGCCTCCATGCTAGGGGGATATCAGCAGGGCCCCAAGCCACCTCTTTTTCCCTCGTGTCCCCCATGCTAGCCAGGTGAAATCTCACACAGGTGTATCTATTGGTGCTTAATCGCATCTGCATGGCAGACAAATGCATATATTTAGGGCCCATATGATAACCCACATAATTAACCATCCTGGATATTTCCAGAAAAAGGCCACCTTTGGGTTTCTCCTTTCTTGCCCTAGCATAGTCCCTTCTCAAAGTCTACTAACACTTACAAGAACCAGTTTTGGTGTTAGAGACTCTTCTTTCCTACGGCCTTTGAGATGTATATCAAGAGTAACAGACAGACAACGTTGTCTGTCTTCTACAGACAACGGCAGATTTCAGCACATTCAGAATACTGCCTTCTCCATAGTAAGCCTGAAGTAGAGAAAAAAACACCAGACTGAGGGCATGAGTTGCAGAAACGCCTTTTCTTCCTTTGCAGCAGCATGCACGTGGCTGGACATCTATCCATTACCCAACTCTACAGTACACAGTTACAACAGGACAGTGATCAAATAGCTCTCAAGAGAAAGTCACAGCACATCGGCTAGGAGCTGCTAAAACTCACCCTGCCTGCAGCTGGCTTCTTACCCACATCTTAGAAGCTCTTGGAAAGGAGGGTAGGGAACTGGCTAGAAATCAGACCAGTTGTTCTGAAAGGCCACACTCAGCCCATGGGCCACAGTTACAATGCTTCTACTCTGTCAGCTAAACAGGATGCTAATAACTGCTGGTCTCTTCAGTACGTTGTTCAAGAGGTAAAGGTAAATGTTAAAACATGTCTTCCATTGCTTCTCTACTCACCCGTCCATGCACAAGTATTCAAGCGTACAGCACTGACAAAAGCTAATGGAATCTTGATATTCTGATGCAACTCTAAGCACCTACTGTAAGTTTTTGAAGAGTTCCTGGACACCAAAAGTCCAAATCTAATTCTGAGTCTCTCTCCAAAGGCTAGCTGAAATACAAGCAAGGAAGCCTCTCTCCAAGTAAAACAGCAGCGGTGGAAAGCTGTCGTTCAGTGTTCCTCATGGGGTTTCTGCCAGGAGACGACTTACCCTCCAAAAAGGACTGCTGATCAATAGGGCGTTGAAGATACTCCTTCAGATTTTTTAATATATTTTGTTGCCGTAGGAAGTATAGAATTTTCTTTGCATAGTACTTCCAGGTGAGACACTTCCTGCATATTTAAATACAAAAAAGTATTGCCCTAAACAAGCACTTTAAGGGTGAACATTTGGTTTAACTTTTCCAGTGAACACAAGTTTACAATTTAGACTACTGTTTTTCTAAACAGGACTGACAACACCACTATCACCAAAGAGGCAAATGTTAAGTGCAGACTCATTCTCAAAATAAACACACCTTAAGACATTTACAAGATATTACTCCTATCAGCTCTGCTTTTCATCCTATCACTAACATAACGTTCTGAGAAGATACAGTCTCATGGGACACAACACAGATTCCGATTAAACTAGCTCAGGTATATCTGATTAAGAGCCTACATTTCATTCATAAAACATTATCTTCTGTCTGACTCTGGATCCACTCAGAACACAGTCTTAAAATACCCTCTCACAGCTAAAGAAATCAAGGAGGCACATGAACATAGGGCCAATGGTATTCAGAAGGAAAAAAAATCCCCAGAGCAAAAACACTCTGTTATTCTGAAAAGCCATGAAGAGATCAACAGCTGACTTGTAGGTCAGGCAATACGAAGCCTTAGAGCTGATACAGTAGAGGCCCTTCAGTTTCTAAATTAACGGGCAAAGGCAGAGCACCCCAGAAAAAGCAGTAGAGAGCTGATTACTATCCAGGTAACGTCTGAAGGTATCACCTGAAATATAACGGACCAACTTAGAGGCATTTAAAGCTAGACAATCCCTGGTCCTTAGTAATGGGTTACCCAAAGCCTCACAGAACACTGTTACACCAAACGGTTAGGAATGGCGCAAAGCCCCTGCCCCCCAAAACGAGGGAGAATTATACTGATTCCTAGGCACTGCTATTGCCACGTCTTTAAAACAAGTCCCATTTGCTTCTTCAGAGACATGCCTCTTCCCCTGCTTGCTTTTCCTCTGCTCCTGATCGCAGGACAGATCAGTCTTCCCCATCCTGCTGAACAGGAGAACAATCAAACCTCATAACACTTTATATACTTCCAATAAATTGGGATGCTCAATAGGGACAACTGCTTTATTCGGATATCTTCCAGGGAAATGATTTAGCCTAATGCTCCTGAATGGCAATGACTCTAGCTTAATCAGGGTGTAATTAGCATCAATTCTGCTTTATGAGGAGGCATTTGGCCAGTGCAAAGGCTCTAAAGCCTTTTAACCAGTTGTCAAATGAGAGATGTTTAGTCCCAGTTTAAATAGAGAATTTACAAAATGAATGTGAAAAAGCAAAAATGAGATGACTGTAATTCCAGCTGATGTCTTTTCAAGCTCTACTAACAGCCCCTTTAATCAAGGCTATTAGACTCCATTACGAGCAATCTATTGCTGCTTCATGTCACAGTGAAAGCAGCCTGGTTTACATGCCACCAACAGAAAAACCTTCAAGTGAACCAACGACTTATCTTGCTCAGGGTTAACCACGGTAATAAGAACACCTAGGCAGAGGAGAACCAGAAGTTTTATTGACCTGCTTGGCATTGCACCCACGTGAATAATTTACAGAACTGCAAATTTCGCAAGGGCTCAGTTAAACTCTCTTGTTTATTTTGGGACAAAAATTGTACCAACTTGCTAAAGCTAAGAAAAGCAACAGGAGAAAACAAGGCTCTGGTTTCATGATACAGGGATTTATGATGACAGTCCTGACTGAAGGGTTCCTGCTTTTCTCCTGTGCTGCTGCAGCAAGCCACCTCTTCAGTTATGTCAACATAACTGTCTCTGGGACCATGCTGTAAACCAGTCCAGCAACTGATGCAGGTAAAACATAATAAAACAAAAAATAACCAACAAACTCCCACCCCTGGGAATTCCTTAAGCCAGTGGCTACTGCAGAGAAGAAGGTACATGGAACAAGTCCTGAGAGACATCGTGCATTTGCAAAGAAACAAGCAAGCAACAGATAGCAACCCAAAGCTAGAGGACCTCCTTCTTGCAGAAATTTTTACATGGTTTCTTCTGGGAATATTAAATCTGTTCTGAAACTAAACACAAAGAAATACCTCCGAGCCTCAGGAAGCTAGGGAATATTGGTTTCTAAGAATGACCAAAATCACACAAGTTGAAGTTAGGCATCCACCACAGCAGAGTTTTCCTTTAACTTGCTAGAGGAAAAAAATCCCTTCCATTTCAAATCCCTCTCACTTTTGCTCACCTTCCTTCCATGTTAAGGATACACATCAGCTCATCCTCAAAAAAATGACTTGGACACTCAAGAGTCTCAATGTCACTGAATCCATCGCAGGGGACCTGTCAAAACAGACGCCGAGTTACGTACAGCACAAGAGACTATTCTTTAAGTAACTATTTCATAAAAAGTCTCCAAACCAATTTTCTATGACATAAAAAAAAAAAATATTTAAGATGTTCAAAACATCCAGCTCACCATGTATTCACGGCCTCCACTCAACGGATTTATTACAAGGCTCCTTTGAGACGCAGTAGCAACCTCCACCAACATGAGCTAGTTACCAGAGCAGCCAGCACTCCCACAGAGGTGCTTGGGCCAGCCCAGGAGTACTGGGTCCTACGTAGGCTGGGCCCAAGCTGAAAGCAAGTTTAAGGCGGAATCAACTTTTGCCTGCGGTCAACTGAACCTCTACATACTCTCTCTGGTTTAGCAGATTGCTACTGGAGGGAGGAATGAAGGAGCAGACCACAGGTCACAGCCTCTATAGTTCCGCCAAGTAAGCGGGAGAAGAAGGACAAGCCAGCCCCCCAGTTAGCGCTAACTCAGAGTTACCTTGGAGACGATGCGGTTGGTGCACTGAAGGGTCTCACATCGGGTGCCTGTATTGACAAGAACATACCCAACACCTAGAATAGGATGGAGGTGGGCTGTGGGGCAGCAAAAGAGCTAGAGAAGTTCCATTTTAGTGACATGTGGGATTTATTTTTGATATGATTTTGGTTGGTAGTTAGGGTCTCTTCTTTGGAATGGGCATGAAGCTGCCTTATGCAGCGAGCAGGACAGAATCTAGAAGTCAAAATGAACAAAAATGCATACTTCAGACCTTGCAGTTGCAGGGATTCTCATGCAAGGGCCTTTGTCTCAGCCTCAGATCTTTGATTAAAAACCTCATCTGATTAAGCAACGCTTGACATGTGCTAACCAGGAGTTTCCAGTGTGTTGACCAAACTGAATTCTTTGGAACAACTACTTACGTATCTATACTCAAAAAAGATATTTTCTTCCAGAATTTGGAAGAGAATTGGTTTTTTGTTTTTTTTTTAAAAAACTTTGGCTTAACTGTAACAAATCTTTTTGTTACAAAATCTTTTTGGATGTTGCTGAATGATCCCTCAATATATGACTGCAGTAGGTGAAACAGGACTGCAACCTAGGAATCTCTTCTCCCAGTTAATTCCTTGACACACATTTTTCCGTGGTCAAACATCCAACTTCTGCAGATACAGTGGAAATGTTCAAAAAGGACAGGTAAGACATACCCATCTCCCAAAACCCTACTGGCCCCACGGCTTTTCTCTTCAGGGTTGAAAACCTGGGTGCCCACTTTCTCTTAGAATCAGATAGAGGATTTCAACATGGGTCTTCTGTACTTTTGGGGAATCCTCTACTGTACCACAACGTATTTATAAAGGAGCTGGAGGAGGGGTGGCCAGCACCAGCTCAGCCATGTAGGGGCCATAACCTAAACTTTCTATTTCAGCAAAAATTATCAGCAGCGTTTATGCTCATTTCAGAGAACTCCAAGTTGACCCAAACTGTATAGCTACCTAAAAAGCACAGCCATCAACTCAGCAAACAGATAATGAAATAACAGTTGTCCCACATGCAAAATAAGTGCTCTCTCTGAGAGACAAGATTTTCACTTTATTTTTTACATTGAATGCAGAAACATCTTGGTGCCATGGCTGGGTAAAGAACTTAAATAACATACTTTCCAATTCAGTGAAACTATCATGCCTTGGTTCTATTTTGACTTCTGACAACTCACAGAAGAGCATACTCTTGCACAAGGTCTGCAGTGAGATAAACTGATAGGCTGCGGTATGCATAAACAAACTATCGGTCCATCAGAAGTTGCTGAGTTCCTAGAGCCAGGTCTGAACACGGGGCAACGAGCAGAGAGCTTTTAAATAGGCTCCGAGACTCCCATTAGCAGCTAAATGTGATATCCAGAGTGTGTTTTAGACCCTGTGCAGTTTTTATCTTTGGATTTTTTTTCCCTTCCATTTTAGCTGGTGGTCTAGCATTCTCACACAAAGCGAGGCACTAAACATTCTCTGACTGGATCGCTGAAAAGATGAGGGGGAAAAAAGGGAAGACAAACTAATAAGAAGTACTAAACAAAAATAGCTAGGCTATTGCAAATACATAAAGAAGATTACTTACGTGTTCTGAAAAGAACCTTTTGGAGAATGAAGCTACAATTCTCTGGGCCTCTAGGCCTGCGTTGTGCCGTGCTTTGTATTCTTCAAGCCAGCTAACACCATCTGTTTGGCTATAGTACTTCAGTAACGATGGCCACCTATACAACAAGATATAAAGGCACACGTTCGTTAGTTAAGACTTCAATATCACGTAGAATCTCTAGAACCGTAAAACGTTCCTTATTTTAATCATGCGATTGGAGTAGCTGAGACACTGCTAAGACACAGTATTCCTTGTAATGTAATTTTATAAATTACTCCAAAGATTGACTCAAACATCAGAGCCTAAATCCAATGGATTTCATTTGAGTATTTCTGGTTATTTAAAAATAAGCTCTCCTGCTGCCTATCAACAGTAAACATTAATAGAAAAACTCTGAAAGGTCCATTCTCCAGGTCTTTCAATATCTAAATATCCTAAGTGCTTTTGGGATTTCATTGAAAGCTTCATAAGATAGACATAGGTTTCACATCTGTAAGAAAGATGCAGTTTTATAATAAAAAATGTTTGCCATTCTAAAGATGGATTGCTTTTAAGCTAACTTGTCATCCAACAGAGCGAGAATTCATTGTCCTTTGTTCTTCCTACTACATTATGGGTCTAATTAAACAAATAAAGCTCCCTCTATTGTGCTTGCTGGTGGCAACATCTGCTGGAGGAAAAGAGAGAATTCTGAAATCAAATAGTGACAGCTAAATGTTTTTGCAGTTCATTTTTAATGTAAGAAATGAAAAAGCCTCTCCTGCAAAAGAAAGCTCTGCCTGCTTCTCTAAGTCTAGAAGTCCAAAAGCTAAAACACATTTTATAGCTTACTAAGAAATACTTGAAGGTATGTGACCTGAAAACCTATTTTCAGGTAATGGTTTGCATACTATTATTAGCAATACTTTTCCTAACAAAGCAGCATCACTACAGCACGAGCTACTATAATACAGCCCTATGCAATAAAACACAGGCCAGCACAGCAATACCCATGACTGTTCTGCAGGCACAAAGATCATCTGTGTTTAAAATATGAGGAAGAATCAGCACAGATGGGAATATTGTGAGCGGCACGGGAATAAAACTTGAAAGAGAGGTCTCGGGTAATTTACACGGACAGTTATTTCACATTTGGATACTCTGTCGGTTAATACTGTCGCTTTCACAAAGCATCACACCAGATATTCTTCTTTCATCTTTACATCAATTGTCTCAGCTTCTTTTCAGGCTGTTAATGCATACTTTTTAACATCACTAAGTAAGATTTATTACCCACTGACCAAAATGCATATAGTTGCGTCCATCCACGCATGGAAGATATTTTTTAGCTGACGGAAGATCCAAATACCCTGCACTTGCAGTTACATAACAAAGCCAAAAACTAACCAAATAACTTCACATTACATAGTAACCTTTCTCCTGAGGGGATCTCTAGCCCTTCATCTATCACCGAAACGCAGCCACGTTGTAGTGACAATTACAACCGTTTATTTTAGGACGAGAAATAACAATTTCTCCGGTTGAAGTTATACTGAAAATTTTAGGGAAATAAGACGCAATTACTGCAGATGGAATCCAGCCGGGACTACAGGGTCAATAACCAGCCTCCTGCCAAAAGCTCTATTATCAAAGGCAGAGGCGGACAGCACCGCGTACTAATCACCTACCACATTCAATTTCAGCTGTTGGCTCTGAATCATTTCAAAAGTTCAGGCTTGCTGCAGAAATTAGAGCCACTGAATCAGTGAAAGCATCTGGCCAGCTATCCCAAACCACAGCTCGCTGAATCGGAGAAGCAGTAATTGTTCAGTAGCCTTTTGCACAGGTGGAGAGAAAATAACCCTCTCATTTGAGCTAAGCTAAATTTCAGAAGCCAACCAGCAATTAGAGAAAGCAACACTGCGGCTTGTCCTGTGCCAAAACACCGACAAAACCAGGCAGCAGATGAGCGCACCCGATTCGAGACAGACCGGTGGCTCCAGGGAACGAGTGCTGCCTGCAGAGCTGCTGAAAGCAGTACGAACGGTGATGGCTGGGCTTCCTTCCCCGTTAAAACGCTTGTAAGAGGTGTCACCAGTCACAGCGCGGCTACGCCCGCATCAGGTCCCCTGCGGCCTGCGGGGGAAACTCAGGCCACAAGCCCTGAAAACGCAGCCCGGCCCCCGCAAACAGAGCCGTCCGCCCGCTGCCCAGCCCTAGCCCCGGGACGGGGCCG